TATCTTGTTTCAGATGCATATTTCTATATGCACCTTAAGTTTGCAAAATTATTTTTTGCAATATGGGCAGACCTTTTATCTTTATACCCTGCCATCTATCGTTGACATATTTATTAAAATTTATTAGAGTCCATTTCAACTCCTGGCTATAATAGACTCAAATCTGGTGGGCGTGCCGGATTTCAAGGCCGGCTAGACAATGAGGAACTAATTTGATTAACACAGTTTTCCTGAAAGGGGCGTTCGATAACAAGTAGTTGTGAGGTTAAAGAAAGTATATGTACTGGGTGTGCAGCAAATAATACTTTACAATAATTTTCACTTGACGTTTTCCCGTATGACGTAAATAGAATCACTTTAAACAATTCATCAGTAAATATACGTGACACACGACCCTGAATTTTATACGCTGATAATTCTCGTTGTTTTTAATAATGTTTTTTTACGAATCCAGTTAAGTAATATCTATGTATTAGTTATTAATTCAAACATTGACACAAATTACATGGAAAGAATGTAGGGCAAGACAAATATGTTTATAGATGAAAATGCTCGAATAAAATTGACAAGATCACATTTTTTTCTGTAACGAATTTATATTGTCGGTAACGTTTTATTGAAAAAAATTAAAATGTATAAAACAGCACATCAAGAAGGTACTAAAATATCTACAATCAGCGAATATGATGGAATTTTACTTCAGCACCGGCAAGATAACAATAATTTATCATCCGGTACAACCGCATTTTAAATGAACAAAATCAATCTCAGTAAATTAAAAAAAAAAAGATCGATACCTTGCCAAGACGGTATAAGTGACACCCACGGTGAGCCCAAGGTTGATCAAACTCATCCACAGCAGCTCCATGGCTCGCGAACTTTTCGAAAACCGTAGAAAACCACCGACACTTGTTTTTATCCCCTTGCCTTGCACAAAGAAACCGCGTGGCTTTGGAAAAACAAAGCGAGATCGCGGGGAACGTTGCTCGACTTGACGCACTTGTACGGAGAAATTTTATTAGATGTGAGAAACAATGTAGTTGCGTAAGGTAACGGAAACCGTTTGAAAAATTAATTGGAGGTGCGAAGCGCCTTGTCGGTCGGTGCTTTTATTGTTGGCCGGTATTCTCAGCAAGGCACTGAGCTGGCGTCGATCAGATGCTCGGTTTGGTGAACTTGCCAGGCTTTCCCCACCACCAGGTCAGTCGATACACTTTAGCTTTAAATATTAAAGCGATTTGATAAAAAAAAAAAAAACCGGTAACGATCCTGTATTGGAATATAGGGTGTTTTATTAACAAAGCTCCCATCCCTTTGTTGGGTATTTTCGAGAGATTAAAATTTTATTTTGGAGTCCCGAGGTGTAGGTCAAAAAAAAATAGTGGTATTACACAAAAACAAAATATAAAGGAACATTGACTACGTATATCACGGCAATAGGGCAATCGTTATTAAGCTTGTGATGGACTTTTTTTAAATTTACCCTTACACTTTCAACATTTATAAATATTTTTAGGTGAGGATGGTTTTATATTTATATGTATACAGGGTGATTCACAAATGGTGACCAAAAAATTAAACCTCGTATTCCGTAGTGAATTTTAAGGGGGCTCTTTCCTATAAAGTTTTTTATCTAGGACGCTTCGTTAAAAAGATACAGGGTGTTAAACTTCAAAAATATTTTAATTTTTTTTAAATAATTTAAAAACTAGTAAGTGAAATAATTCGAAATGGGCACGTTAGATTTACTACTTCTTTAATAGGACTCTATTTTCATTTGGAAAAATTGTATTGTTTTAATGACCAAAGTGTTATTAAATAATCAAGAAGCCTACGTTTTTTTATTCTTTCATCGAAATTACACATTTAGAATGACAAATATGACTTTTAACAAAAATTTGACAATTTTTTATGCAATTGCCACACCATTCCCCGCAATTGTTACCTTTGCACGACCAGGAAGGTAATTCCGATAACCAAAGTGACTTCTACAAGTCTGATCAATACCATACCGTTGCAAATATTCACCAGGGGTCACTTTCACTGATCTAATAAGTACTTAATGTCACTTTTGTTCTTATTAGCTGTATTGAGAAGACAGCGTCACGGAAAAATATCAACTTAACTATGCAGCAATTGACAGAATGGGAGGCAAAGATTAGCAGCACAAAACGTAGGTAATTGTCTAATTAAGTTATGGTCGCAAATAATGTCAAATGTTTTATTCTCGGTTTTATTACGGCTGGTAAATAAAATTATATCACATCGAATCGAATGTGTGTGTGTGTGTGTGTTTTTATCTAGTCGAGTACACGGGGTGGTCGAAACTTAGCAGCGAGCAGAGCTTGAAAATTTCCTTGTGATAATATTTTTTCTTTCAAAAATGTCGTTTTTGTTTTAATATCAAAAAAGCATGAGTATACAGAAATATATTGAAAACTACGTGACAGTGTTGTCGCGTCTTGGATAAAAAAAATAACCAAGACACTTACGGCTAGATTAACTAACCTACATCACCACCTACATATTTTTTCTAAATAGATAAGAGTATTCATTATTAATTTGTGCGCCACTGTATGCAGGTTTCCTATAAATAGTCTAAAATATTTCTGAGGGGAAACACCCTGTATGTTACAGAACTGAGAATATTTCATTAAGAACGTTGTTATCGATTTATGGATTTTGCTATGTACACATTACAGCGATAAATAAACTCACCTCGCGTAAAGTAATAAAACAGGACGCAGATAAAATCAATACATAAGCAATAAACGATTTTTCCTCATCTTTTCTTTTGTGTCGGGACAGAAAAATGGATTACTAAAAAATTAAAAACACCTCCAAAGCATTTTTTGTAACTGAAAACAGTCATCATCTTTAGCATTGAAAGACGTCATTACAGTTACGTAAAAATTACGTAAATTAAATGAATTGAAATCCTTTACTGTTCTGTGGTAGACGTCACCGTATTTTCCGTTGTGAAATACAACGAACAAATATACAATAATAATTGTAACCCTGAATTGTTGCTAACTTCTAGAATACACAGATTAATTAAGCAGTCTACGAAATGCTATGTAAAAATAGTTAATTATAATTTGACGGATCCAACACATCAGTGTAAATATAGAATTTTTATTTATTGCCTTTATCTTGAACACCTATTATTAACTGGATTCGATGTAGTGCAACGATTTGTTTAACTCTCAAGTAATTTCCTCGTCTTTAAACGCGATCTTTCGAAGGTAAACAATCGAACCTGTCTGTAATATAACAGAAATATTTACTAAACGATCTCGCTGTATTTTTAGCACACATTTACCTTTACTTTTATCACTTTGGCATTGGACATTGCTGAATTTCTAAAGACGTTCTTATTAATTAATATGGTCGAAAGCTGCCAACGAATTCGACGAGTAATGAGTTGAAGGGCGAGGGCAAATCACTTCCTCGTCGTTTTTGCATGCATCACCTTGAAATCGGATAATTATATGCACGGCTGCAAGTGGTCATTGAGATTTTACAAAAAGTGGTACCTAGGTGTTAGGCTCGAGATGCGTTATCTTTGTTTTTTTTTTGTGTTCTTTGTAAAGCTAATAATAACATTTACTACATTTACTATTTCGACTTTTTTGTTACATCAAACACCAATTGATTATTATACAGGGTGTCCCGGTACTTGATACAAAAAAGTCGAGTACAAATAGATGAAATCAAAATAATATCAGTTTTTACAACATCAAAAACAAGTTGTACGGATGTGTTATCGGTCACCAAATTTGCATCATGCTGAAATTAATAGTTTATAGACTGTAAATAAAAATAACTTTTTAATTTTCACCTTTGAGAGCCCGTAACTTGTTAACGGAGGCCCATATGAAAAAAAATTATATGAAGAACTGATATTATTTTGATTTCATCTATTTGTATTCGACTTTTTGTATCAAGTACCGGGACACCCTGTATAGTTGGCCTTTTTAACCTTCTTTTATCTCGGAATGTCAGACATTACATAAATGGTATTTAACACGGTAAAAAAAGTAATTTTTATGTTATTTATGTGGCTACACCTTCAGAAGTAGAAAACTGTCCTTGCTTGATTTTTTTAAAATTAACAATGTATTAACTTTTTACAGTTGAGTATAAAAGAATTAGGTCGAAATGTTTTTTTGAAATATATGTAATAGGAAATGATGTCACTTTAGTTTTATTAATATCCTTGGCTGTAGTTTGAACTTTAACTTGTCTATTGGTGGCCAAGGTCTGGCAATCATCTGTTAATGACACTTTGTGAGAATATCAAAGCTAATAAGATGAGATACTGTACTGTAAAAATACAGTATACTTAATAAAGAGCAAAAAGTTGTAAATATCTAACAAATATAGAGATATTTCTTTAATTATTATGTACCTTATTAACTTTTCCTGAATTTAGAACGCCTTGTATTAGACGTTAGTAAAGAATCGATTTAGATGTGAGAAATCGAGAAAACAACATTGCGAATTATTTTGAAATTGAACTTTGCGTCATAACAATTTAGCTGCGGGAATTTCCATCACAGCAAAATGCAAAATTAGTTGACGTACTCGCTGATATGGACTGAACGGATCTCCTTAATAATTTGGGGTCTTAGTCAAGAGAGCGTTCTTAATTGATATTACGGCTTTTAAATTGAAGAAAAATTGGCACGTGGGGATTATTCCTATAATAATACTCTCTCTCTCGATAGTATTACGCCAATATGGTTAACAATATTAAAAAATAAAGTGGTAAAGCGAAAAAAGAAATAAGTGAATCAAAAGTGACTATTTTAACATAAAAATGGACCAAATTACACCATAATGAAAAGTGACTTTTTAGCTATTCATTTAAAAAAAAAAAGGACACTTTAGCGATTGTTTTTTTTTAAATGGCATGAACGGTCCAGCTTTGCATAAGCAGTTTTTTAATAACTGTCCCCTTCCCTCTGTTACTCTCTCCCAGGAGATAAAAAACTCACCTAGGATGGCTCTAAGGTGGCCCTCCAGCGTCTGCAGGATGGTCATCTTGATCTCCTTCACCGTCTTGCCTAGGAACTGCTCGGAGGCGGTCTGCAGTAGCTCGTCGGCCTTCATGATCTTGCACTGGGCCACCCCCGTCACCGACAGCGGCACCCCTTGAGCCGTCTCCACGCTCTCGCATTGCGGGTTTAGGGTCATCACTTCCAGCGAAAGCCGTTGGACGTCGGTGACGCACCACCAGGCCCACGCCCAACCGCCCACGACCGCCACCTTCTTGGTAGATCCGCAGCATCCACCTGGGGGGGAAAAAACGACAACGCTTTAGTTGGAGACTTGAAAATGAGCTTTGTTACTTCGTTTTATATATTTTTTTAATATCGATTTAGAATATAAAAAATCATAAGTTCTATCTTTTGAAGTGGTTTGACTAGACCTGTCAATAACCACGTACGATTTTTTTACAACTTCCGCTTTACGAGTCTGAAGAAATCATAATTGAAAATATCCTCACGTGCAAAAGGGGAACTGTACGCTAGCGATTAAATTCCGGAAACGGAGTATGTCCCGTTGACTTTATATATTACAAACAGTGGCAAATTGGCAAGAGACCTTATAGTGTGCAACTTTTTTTAATTGAAAAATTTCATGTTAACTTTATTTTTTTCGAGAGTATGTATGACAAAAATTACTTTAATAACACAATACATGTATTTGAAATAAAACGACTTTTACCGTTGAACAGTAAAATACAGCAAAAAGGGGCTACGCTGTGACGATTTATAACGTTCGTTAAGATTTTAATACATTTTACACAAAAAAAGTTGCCGCAAGAAAAATATGCTAAAATTTAGCCCCTTGCATGGGATACTTTGTAACAACGATATTTTTTTATGAAAAGCCCGGTACAAAAGTAATATCTTCTCGATTTTAGAAATATGTACATATAATAAATGATACTCTGCGTTTTTCCAATTTTAAAATGTACCTATCTTTCAAAGAAGTGTAAAAATGTAGCTCCATATTTTAAATCAGCAAAAGGTAAGAGAATAGACAGACAACAGATAGACAAAACAAACTAAAAAACATATACGGAAAAAAAACAGATGTCAGATAAAATGTAAAGACAAACGACAGACACAACAAAATAAGAAAAGACAAGAAAAAGGACAATATGATACAAAAATGGAAACTAATTCGGAAAATGGTTAAAAATTATTTCAAATACAGGTAACGGTTCCAAATAGAACCGTCATACGGAACTGTTACTTTAGTACCGTCTAATGATTGGAACTATTTTACTGTATAACTATAACCTATAATCCAATTTTTAAAAGTATATTCGGCTGCCGAAATTATAAAGAGTCACTAAGACATAATATAAAAACACTATTACCATAATGCGTATAAAATCTAAAATGATTTCTATACGGTTCAATATTATTTATCTTTGTGCCGCTCGCCATGCACATCGGTAGAATCTATAATCGTGTATAGACTGAGTTACACTGAACGTCGATCTATATTCTATCTCTGTGTTTTGCACTTGGTAGGGAATAGGGAAATGCTTTTTTAGTGGGTGTAAACGGACTTGATTTGCCCGACCTGAGAAACGTCATAGCATAAGCGTAGACGAGGGGTCTAATTCCATGGCTATAATAAATTTATAAATTAAAAAAACACAACTGGGACGTTTTAAAATGCTGTAATAATTAAAATTGATCAAAGTGCCGGTTATAGCAAACCGTAAAAAATATTAGATGTTATGTTTTATTATGTTTTTTCAATATTTTCTATATCTTGTTGCCTTTTACGCAGCCACGCCAATGGATTTTCGTTCCCGGTACGCGTCATCCCCCTTACTAGTCCAAGAGCTAGCGATGAATCACTATCTATAATTTTGGCCGGCGAGTATAGATAAAAGATAGAAATGAAGTATCTCTTACAAGAACTATAATTGTTGTTCTTATATTTAGGGTGGCAAAGTAAAACAAAATAGCCCTTTTAATAATAATTATTCTTGAACTTTCGCATATTTTCACTATTTTCAGTCGAGAAAATCTAAATTTCTAATAGGAAAACAGAGAGTGGAAAATTGATCTTCGTTACGAAGAGCACGTAGGACGAAGTAATCGTTCTACTTTTCCACATATTCGACATAATAGTGACGCAGAGAATACGAGTATGTATATATTTCTTTTAAGAAACAAAAACGGCTTCCAATATTGTAAGTGCTGTTGTACGTTGGTAAATTTGTAAACCCTTCACACAGATGCAAGCAGACATTATTTTTATTCCCTGCAATTGATATGTTAAGAAAACTTTCTCGAGCCTCAAGGTACGCTCACAGTTTTCAAGGACAGTTTAAATAAAACATTTATAAATCATGAAAATGTTTATCGTGACAGATAATAATTGCCCAAAATCATAGATTTTTTACCGATTTAGGAGCGTAGGTTCCTTATTACTACTGTAATGTTAGCGTTAGCCTCATAACGAGTTGGGCAAACAAATAGAAAATGTAACTGGCTAGGAAAGTGAACATCTTAATTGACTGGGTTATTGTAAGAAACGCCGTTAGCAGTATCCGTGTCAGCGGGCAGAGAAACAAGCCAGAAAGCAGATACAGGGTGGTCTAAATTCGGTTCTCCGTAACGGCATATTAGCTTTGCTCTGCAAAGATTTGTTTAGTGTGCATGCTCATAAAAAAAATTGCTGTTTTTATGACAAGGATGAAAATCTTGTTTTTTTTTAAATTATAATCCCAAATAGTCCAATAGACTTCCATATTTAATTATAATAATGAGAAGCTTGCCGGATTATTGAAAATAAATAGTTTTCAAACGAAAAAGTAGACAAACTACATCATAAAATTAAATAATAATAATAATGGATCAACACCGAACACGAAACTTGGCTTCCGCTTCGTGTTTGGCTCACCCTATACACGGCAGCGCCCATTTCCACCGAAGACATTTCACTCATGCAACTGTAAATGATGGCCAGGACTGAGGAGACAGTGAATATCTTCCTCTAGTGTCGCAATAGCTTAACAAGAACTCAGTCAAGTTCAAGATCGACTTTGCACTATTTAATTTCTCTTATTTTTCTTGAAGGTTTTCATTTCGTGACAATTTTCCGAATTATGTGTATATCTATGAAGAAACTGGAGTGCTACATCATGCTGAAGTTATGTGCCCGGTGAAAATTAGTTTACTTTTAATGATAGTTTGAAAACTGATGGTGTGTTTCAAGAGAAAAACATTTTTTTCGCTGTGTTGAGATTGGTTTTAAAAAATTTAAATTAGAAGAAATATAGGTTTCAACCATCTATTAAGGTAAGTTGTTTGAATCGTTGATTTTATATTACCACAAAATCATATAAATATTCATTTTTTTATATACATATATTTACGTGTATTTTTAGAACAAAATGAATATGAAATTCATTACAAATAATTGTTAGAACAAAATTAACGTGATTTTTTAAAAATGTCTAATTGTAAGTATGTAGGTAATTTTTAAGACTATAAGTTTAACATAAATCAAATTAGTTGCAGTAGATTTTCCTATCACAGATATTAAAAAGTTATTAGCTCTTAATTACACAACCGAATTTTTCATTTTTAACACCTTACAGGCAGGTACATCAAATGACAAATGAATGAAAGTTTGGTACCATTTGCGGACTGTGAGAAATATAAAGAAAATGTAGGTCAATTAAAATAATACTATCAGTTGATCACGTAGGTAATTATTGCACATTATTAATGGGTTATTAATTTTTATTTTTTTTTCAAAAATATTGAAATGCCCTTTACAGTTTACTAGTGCCTCGTTATTTAAAACAAATCGTCTTCCAAAAAATTAATAACAATAACTTTTAATTGCTCGATACGCCAATTTTAAAATGCTATCCCAAACGTCTACATGTTTAAAGCATTTTTAGTCCACGATAACAGAAAATGAATTTACTGGAATTATGTAGATAATTCAAAGTGATAGCAAGGAATGTCCGCGTCTTTACGAAACTTTTCGACCCCTTGAGCCACTGCCTTTCGTTCGCCAGTCACGTATCCCTTATATCGATGGAGTAATCTCTGGCGGGAGCAGGAGAAAGTGATATGTGATCGAAATAAAAAAAATAACTCGGGTGACAAAATCCATCACTGTCATTATATCAGTGCCGATGATCATCCAAATCGTTGAGGTGGCATTAAAATGTTACTCCTATCCAGTGGTAGGTCGTCGTGTTTTTTTTTATGATTTTTCGATGTAACGGTCCTCTACTGTTTATTTTCAAAGTCAACTTATATTAAGAAACGTTTTTTATAAACATAAAAGTACTTTAGTGAGCAAAACTATCGCACAAATTTCGAAATAGTCGCATGGTTGTTTAAATAAAAATTGCATGAGGACTTCTCATATTTTATTTTTTAGTGATGAGTGCGATAGCGGCGCCCTTGTATGGGCTGGGAGCGACGGCGGCATCAAACTTGGCCATTTTCCTGCCAGCTCTGGTGGCTGCCATAGCCTACTTCCAGTACGAACAACTGGATCCAGAGAGCAGGCCCATAGATGTACAAGAAGACGAACTCCTGGAAAGGTACGACTTCATAGTGGTCGGGGCAGGATCCGCAGGTAAAAAATTACATATTTGGTATAGGGTAACCGAAAATTGTCAATCAATTATTGCACTTCTACCTGGAAAAAAAAAGACGACGTGGAGAAATAATTCGCCCTTAACTTTGCCGATTTCAGGGGCCGTGGTGGCTAATCGACTGAGCGAGGTAGACAGCTGGAATGTGTTGTTATTAGAAGCCGGAGGAGACGAAACTGAAATTTCCGACGTCCCTTTGATGGCGGCCTACCTGCAACTATCCGCCCTAGACTGGAAATATAAAAGCGAACCTCAAGGGCAGGCATGTCTAGGTAAAGTATACTTTTAACCAAAAAAAACGTCAAATAACGATCGTATCGTCGCTTGCAGCGATGAACAACGGCAGATGCAACTGGCCCAGGGGCAAAGTTATAGGCGGCTCGTCTGTCCTCAACTACATGCTGTATTTGCGCGGCAACAAGAAGGACTACGACATCTGGGAGTCCCTGGGGAATCCAGGATGGGGTTCTCAGGATGCCCTGTACTACTTCAAGAAGTCGGAGGATAACCAGAACCCGTACCTGGCCCGTACGATCTATCACGGAACTGGGGGGTATTTGACGGTGTCCGAGGCCCCCTATCACACGCCGCTGGTGGCAGCGTTCGTAGAGGCTGGGAGGCAGTTGGGATACAAGAACAGGGACATCAACGGGAAGTACCAGACTGGTTTCATGATGGCACAAGGTAAGAGGGTACCCATCACATTTTTTTTTTTGGACGCCGTATTTCACTTTTTTTGTTCGGATTCAGGAACTGTTAGGAGAGGTTCGAGGTGTTCTACTGGCAAGGCCTTCCTAAGGCCAGTGAGGCTTCGGGGAAACCTTCACGTGGCCATGAAGGCTCACGTCACCAGAGTCCTGATAGATCCCTTGTCGAAAGTTGCCTACGGAGTCGAATTTGTACGGAACGGCAAACTCCACAGGTAAAACAATAAGAGGATAAAGTTCTTTCATCGCTCTTCAAGCAATATTTAAGGTACAGGCTAAATTTTGTCCAAAGAATTCCGTGTTATTTCCAACTGTTCCGGACAGATTTAAAAAGTTTTGCAAAGACGTAATCTCTATACAATATCAGTAACTGTTTTTCAGAGTTCGCGCTACCAAAGAGGTCATCCTATCCGCGGGTGCTGTCAATTCTCCCCAACTTCTGATGTTGTCAGGAGTTGGGCCCAGAGCCGACCTGGAGCAGCTCAAGATCCCGGTCGTACAGGACCTGAAAGTGGGCCATAATCTGCAGGACCACATAGGTCTCGGTGGTCTCACATTTCTGATCAACAAAGAAGACTCCATCACATTGGACAGGGTGTACTCAGTCGGCAAGTACCGATCCAATTCTCAAAAAATGCAATTTTTCGGACGCCTTTGTCGAAAGTTGAAATTCTTTCTTTGCAGGCCCCCTGATGCAGTACGCCATCTTCGGCGGCGGCCCGCTTACCATCATGGGCGGCGTGGAGGGCCTCGCCTTCGTCAACACCAAGTACGCCAACGCCTCCGAGGACTTCCCCGACATCGAGTTCCACTTCGTCTCCGGGTCGACGCACAGCGACGCTGGCGCCCAAATCAAGAAGGCGCACGGCCTCTCGGACGACTTCTACGATAGGGTGTTCAAGCCCATCAACAACAGGGACGCGTGGAGCGTTATTCCCATGTTGTTGAGACCCAAGAGCAGAGGTTGGCCGTTTCGAACACGAAATTTTGCGTTTCTTTTCATTATTAATCCGTTCTCTGCTTCAGGGTTTATAAAACTGCGCAGCAAGAGGCCTTTCGACCCTCCACTGATCTACCCGAACTACTTCCAAGACGACTTCGACATGAAGACGCTGATAGAGGGCGCTAAGATCGGCGTGGCGCTGAGTCAGACGCCGGCCTTTAAGTCGTACGGCAGCAGGTTGCACGAGTTTCCCGATTGCGAGCACATCCCCAGGTACACCGACCCCTACTGGGAGTGCATGATTAGATTGTACACGGTCACTATATATCATCCTGTAGGTGAGTGTGTTCCTCGAAACAAATTAAGAAGCTTTACAAAAGGCAGTGGCGACAATAGCGACAGTATTTGTTTTAAATATTTAATGACGGCTAAACTTATAGACCAGGGCGAATCTATCGAAATATTCCACTTCTTGGATACAAGAGGGGGCAAGCTAATTTTTGCTGCAATACCTCCAGTACAACTCACATAATAAAAGTGTAGATCCCTAGATCTGGGCGAGGTTCGGAATATTTTCAAAATTGCAAAAATGTTTAAAAAAATTCAAAAAATACCTGTTTTATCCGAGTTTTTTACTTATATCTTGGAACCTATGCATTTTGGAAGAATATTGAACAGGAAAAAAAGTTTTAGAATTGAATTTTGCGCAATATACTGTAAGTTAAAAATATTTAAATACAGAGTGACCCATTTGAAAGCGGGCCACCCTCATAACATTTTTATTTATGGAGCGATTTTGACGAAATTTTTTTTTAAATGTAGAGGGGGGAAAAGTGTATTTTGGGGCCAAGCGCCGTCCAGTTCTTTTTTAAACTAAGGCCTACTAGATCACATTCAGAGGCTGAAAAATCCAGAATCCATATTAGCGAATTTTTTAGAAAAAATCTGCGTACGCCACTGGATTCGGCGTCCCCTGAAATGGATCTGTACCAAATTTCATGAAAAAATATTCAACATTAACGATTCTGCGGCTAAATTGCTGTCAAATTGTTTATTATGCATAAAGAAACTTTTTATCTAGTAACCCATGCGATAATAAATCAATCACAACAAATATTTAATAACACGTTTAATAGACATCATTATACCAAAATACAATGAAACAGACAGAAAAATGAACGAGAAATTAACATAAAATTTACAAAAAATACAATAAAATAAAATTAACACACATGAATTAAATTAAATTCTGGAATTTTCAACTAAATCTCCATTTAATTGAATGAATATTTTTGTAAATGTTGCCTCTCCTAGATTTTTTTTATGGGGGTTCATTAAAGAAAAAGTTTACTACACTCGTCCAATGAATGCAGAAGAACTGCGCGAAAGAAGAAGATAGGCATGCGCTGAAATTACAACACATCAATTGTCTAATGTTATGGCACACATTCAAAAACAATACAATAAATGCATTCAATTAAATGAAGATTTAGTTGAAAATTCCAGAATTTAATTTAATTCATGTGTGTTAATTTTATTTTATTGTATTTTTTGTAAATTTTATGTTAATTTCTCGTTCATTTTTCTGTCTGTTTCATTGTATTTTGGTATAATGATGTCTATTAAACGTGTTATTAAATATTTGTTGTGATTGATTTATTATCGCATGGGTTACTAGATAAAAAGTTTCTTTATGCATAATAAACAATTTGACAGCAATTTAGCCGCAGAATCGTTAATGTTGAATATTTTTTCATGAAATTTGGTACAGATCCATTTCAGGGGACGCCGAATCCAGTGGCGTACGCAGATTTTTTCTAAAAAAATCGCTAATATGGATTCTGGATTTTTCAGCCTCTGAATGTGATCTAGTAGGCCTTAGTTTAAAAAAGAACTGGACGGCGCTTGGCCCCAAAATACACTTTTCCCCCCTCTACATTTCAAAAAAAATTTCGTAAAAATCCCTCCACAAATAAAAATGTTATGAGGGTGGCCCGCTTTCAAATGGGTCACTCTGTATAATACCGATGTTGCAAAGTAGCAATAATTGATGAAAAAAAGGCAAAATAATCCAGTTTTTTGAAATTTTTTTTTTAAATATTTTAATCTAATTGATTAAAAATAAAAAAAATAGAGGACTAACTTTAAAAATTTTCTGTCGCTGTCCTAATCAACCGATTTCAATTTTTCAAAAACCATTTGAAAGGTTCAGCGGTCTTTTCTATGTGAAAAAATGTTCATGTATCTAGAGCAATTAAAATATATTTAAAAAATTATCCAAAAATCTCGATTATTTTGCCTATTTTCATCATTTTTTTTTGCAACATGGGTAATAAATTTTAACTTACAGTATATTGTGCAAAATTCAGTTCTAAAACTTTTTTCCTCGTCAATATTCTTCCAAAACGCATAGGTTCCAAGATATAAGTAAAAAACTCGGATAAAATAGGTATTTTTTGCAATTTTTTTAAACATTTTCGCAATTTTGAAAATGTTCCGGACCTCGTCCAGATCTAGGGATATACACTTTTATTAAGTGAGTTGTACTGAAGGTAATCCAGAAAAAATTTGCTTGCCCCCTCTCACATCCACCTCAAAACAGATCCGCCCTGGTCTATTACTATGCACTTACAATTATTAGAACAATGCTAATATTAAAACTGTTTTTTTTTTTAGAATAATTCTATTAAAAATCTCAAATAATGAATTGTCGAATCATATCTCGTCTGTAATTATATGTATATTTGTGGCATTTTCAATTACCTTTTTTATTTAATCGGATATTTCTGGACCTAAAAGTAATGACTTTTAAATAGATAATCCCTTGTCCCAAAAAGGATCAATCAGTTTAGTTAAGTTTTGGTAAGAAGCTTTCCAAATTAGAGATACTGAAGACTAAAATATATCAATTTAGCCAAATATACGTTAGTCTAAATATTGATAGTTATAAACTTACAGGGTGTCAAAGTTACTGTGTTATTTACAATGTTTTCTTTGTTCCTGGATAATTTCGTTAGGTTTTGTCTAAAATCCAGTAGATGGAGGTTTTTTAGGTATGAGACATAAGATTCCGCCCTTTAATAAAGGGTATATTTTTGTAAATAACCAATCGTACATTTTTTGTATCACCTTGATACGCAATTACTAATAGAAAATTTTGAATATCTTGTCCTTCCTCAACAACAAAGATGTACTTGTTAGAATCGTCTAAAGGTAATAGTTTCCGAGATATTTTGCTTTTAAAAGTTTGATGTCTGTTTGGTGTCTACTGTCGCCAACGCCTTTATAAAGTCACTGTAGTTTATGGTCTTCATCAACGTTACGACAATTTCTAATAATTTGAACTTGTTATAATAGCGGCTATTAACATTTTTCTCAGGTACGTGCAAAATGGGACCCTATTGGGACCAGGACGCCGTAGTGGATTCGCAGCTGAGGGTGTACGGTATCAAAGGGCTGAGGGTGATAGACGCCTCCATCATGCCAAACCTGGTGAGCGGGAACACCAATGCGCCCGTCATCATGATTGGGGAGAAGGGGGCCGACCTAGTGAAAGAGTTTTGGACGAAAACCGCGAAATATAAGAGAAATTACAGGGGGATTTGAGCGCGGGGTGGTACGGCACGATGTATAAGTGTAGTGCGTGAGCCGTGTTGTTTTTTTTTTTATTCGGAACTGGTTTTAATACAGCTAAATTAGGTTTTGACTGATTCTTACGTAAACAAATGTAACAATACTCGTTGTATAAAAGATCAAAACATATTTGAAGTTTGTTTGTATTGTACTGCAGCACTAAGTTATATACGAACATCATATTTTTGAGACAAACAATAGACATTTCTCATAACAATCGTCTATAAACTAGGAAAATTAATAGAGTTCCTCTAATTTATTCTATTCAAATGTGTATATTAAGGCAGTTTGTAATACCTGTATGTTATTTATCGAATTGAAAATAAATATATTGCATATTCTGTTTTAATTTAACTAAATGAATAAAATTTGATAATACTTTTATGAGATAAAATGTATGCTTTTTATATGAGTTGGACTTACTGCATCCTGTGTTCTTAAATTTCCGTAAATTCAGCAGAAATGTAGTTGCGATGCATTTAATCTCTAAGAACGCACATAGTAGTAGAGTTGTGATTGCATGGAATTATTGTTTTTCTCATTACCTGTAAGTACGTAAGTAAAATTTAAAAAATACGCCAATTATTGATTAGTTTCTATAGATGTGTTTTAAGCGGGAAAATTTTATTAAAAAATGGAATCATTTTCGAGTTAATGATTTTTTTTATATCTTACTCATTGCCACCTAGATTAACCAGACCTATTTACTCCGTAAACCAATAACTCGTTAACGAATGGAATAAAATACTACCTAATTTTCTTGTGTAAAACGAAATATTGAAACAAATACAATGTTGCATGTGATTATTGTAAAATAACAATCGACATAAAAATATACGATTTGTGGAAAGATTTAAGTTAATTCAATTGAACAAAAATACAGAAAATTTATATTTAACGTTATTCTGTCAATTTTTTCTACATATTTTCGAACACGTTTGATTCTAGTTGCCTATCCTATTCGTACCCTAATATCAGAAAATAACACAACCAAAAGCACAATGTACCTACATATTTGCATAACTTTCTGAGAAACCAAAAACACGAACTTCTAATCCACTTTTATTACTTCCATCGCTCAGACGAACACAGACAGCACTTGGAAAACATTACAAAGTAGTGTATAAAAAATTATAGCAAAATACAAAATATTATCTCAAGACTACCTTCCTCAGTCCAACCACAAATTTATAACCTCAATTAAATTAAAGGGACAAAGCAAAATTTTAGAATTAGCACGAATGAGACGCAATAATTACACACAGAATTATTCAATCGAATTTTACAAGATATTTAATTAATCTGGCAACAGTTACTGAAATAATTAAGGATGGAAACTGATGCATTTCTGGTTGCCTAAATTATACCGAAAAATGGTAGAAAACAGCCCATTTTTATTCCAATGTATCTTTTTAAAGCAATGGAAGAAAGTAGTAAAATTTCATATCACATTTGGAAAAGTATAAATGAAGACAGTAAAGCAAAAATTAATTGGGATAGGTAAATAATTCGTGAAAAATTAATTTCTAAATATGAAGGTTTTTTGGACTTTTACAAATAAACGATTATTTCTTCATAGTATTATAGAATTATGCAAATTTTTATATAGTTGTCTTTTAATAAATAAACTGATTAGACTTTATTTCATAGTTTGTTCAACACTTTATTATTTAAAAAGTTATATTGGCATAAAATTATTAAAAAAATATTCATTCAAGAATAGCATTATATCGGACCTTTAATTCGCTTGATTTGTAATAGATGTCGCACTAGTAAAAATTTATTTTTGAATGGACTCTGGTTATTTTTGACGAACAGCTGTTGTATTGTGGTTAATTTGGTATAACCTGATTCTGAATTGGTAGTCATGGTTTCTGTTAATTGATACGTAAATATTTAAAGAATGTCATGATCATTTTAGATATATTTTTGTATAAAAGTATATAAGTAACAGTGCAAGTCCATACTATTATATAATTTTAGAAAATATGAAATATAAACAATTTTTAGTTTATTTAAAACCATAATTTATAATTAATATACCTATATTAGTATCTACGGTTAGTGGATAAGAGGGAAAACATTTTTATTTTCTATTCTACTAGAAAAAGTAATTCGTGACAAAAAATATTTTGCTTTTTAATTGAATATGTTTGTCATGAAAAACTGTAATTTATATATATACAGGGTGATCAGAAATTTAACAAAATTAATAACGTTGAAGAATAAACTGCTTTTGTTTTTGATAATATAAAAAAATGTTAATAAGAAAAGTTGTTCATAACGGAAAGTTATGTTATAATTACGATTTGTGAATAAAGCGGCTTACTTTGGTATAAACAGAAATGGAAAATATTATATTTTTAATAATTAATATTAAGTAATTCTTGATAAAAAAAATTTGCATATTAATATAAATAGAATTTTAATTGTGAATATACATAATAATGAGAAAATATAAAAAATATGTACGATATACTTATTTTGTCCAAAAAATGTGTAAAGAATTATGTACAAAAGGACGATTTGAGTCTAAATTTTTTTTATGAGAAATAGGTATTCAGTTCACTTCAATTGAAAAAATAGTTGTAGTATAGGTACTTTAATACCTCCAATATAAACAGAAATTCTGTGGAACAGTGTAGTTTAATAAATATGTAAATAAATGAAAGTAATAAAGAAATAAATAGAATAGGTACAGTAGAACAGGAAAAAATTTAAAAATTCATAAAATAAAATTATTTCTTTTTATTAATTTGAGTTTCTATAATATATTCTGGATCCATACATCTTTTTCCCTGTGGAATATTTTTGTATATTATTTCTGGTAGTATACAATTTTTATAAAATTGTTCCAAATTTGTTGCCATTGATTTTTTCCATAATTCTTCATATTTCTTAATTTGTTCTACATAGAGTGGGTTGTTTTCACCACTATAGGTATATTACGAAATAACATATAGACTTCTTCCGGTTCCGTATCTGAAAGTAAGAAAAGAATTTTACCAGATAATATTTGTTATAAACATAGATAATTATACATTTTTACCTATTATGCTTTTGATTTACCATAATGATATATCTAGTCATATATAGGGTGCCACAATAGTGCGATAAAGTTTAGTATAACTGCCTGTAGTAGTGATACGAAAAAAGTTACTTGCTCGGATTCACATTTTATTATTATTTCCATTATTCATTATTTTCAGACCGAATTAAACGTTCAGAAAATCTTGTTTTTGGCCTGAAGATTTTGCCCTATACAACTATAACTGAAAATAATTATAAACTTTGTCACACTATTGGAACAGCCTGTATGTGCATTGCAACGACAATATGTCATATTTATATTACGGCTAAGTAAGCGGAAAGTCCATTGTCGCATATGTAATTTTTATTTTCAAATAATCAAATACAATATACCTACATATTTATTTTTAATATCTATTATTTACTTGAATTTAGTACTAAGTACAACTATGCCTAGCAAATTGTAATACTTACTCTGTTAATGTTTTTTCCTTCATATAAAAAATAGTAAACTCCACAAATAAAATATTTCGCAGCCACAACGCAACAATAAAAGATAACAGCTCAAAGATCCATACAAGAAATAATTACATTCGCACCTACTCTGGTCCGAATCCATATAAGTACTAAAATGTAGAAAATAATATGAAATAAAACTTTTAGTTGGCTGCAAATATTATAAATTTGTATAACCACTTGCCATCCTCCTTTTTTGTAAATATGTACATAATAATATGTAGAAGATAGAAAATAGAAATATTTTCAGAACAAAAAACCGGCGGCCGCAAATTGGAGTTTTTATTATTTTATTACCCTTCTCTTTTCATATGCAATTATGAGATAGCAAGAGAGTGGGATGGACGTATAGGCCGGACAACTCATTATCGTGCACGTGTGCGTGCACCTGGCATTATCTCGTTTTTTTTTTAGGTGAGTTTTGCCGGAATTTGAATGAATGAAATAGTCGTACTATTTTTACTATAAACGTATTTCCTGTAGCGACATCTATATGAATATTGTAGTACTTTGTTAGATGAAACGGGACTTCAATTTCCGTTCTTAAACTAACAATTCTCGCGTCAAATTAGAATGTATATCAATTGACAATTCCAGAAGTTCCCAATAAACTTTAACAATTTCAATTCTTAAATTTAAACATCGTTTTGCAATTTAAACGATTTTCATTATTGAAAATGTTAACTACAAGAATTTACGCGTAGAAAAGCATCAGACAGAACATGTCTGACCTCACTCAGCAGATGAACCTCTGGTCCATGACCAGGATGGCCCTAACTCTGGGTCCTGGACTGGGGTTCCTCTTCTACCTCCACTCCACCACGATCAGTCAAAGGCTGGACATCCTGGACAGGGAGCACAGGGTCAAAGACGTACCCGCCTACCTCCTGCTCGAATCCTACGATTTCATCATAGTTGGGGGAGGCAGCGCGGGGGCAGTCTTAGCCAATAGGTAAGCGAAAGCTGATGTTTTTTGCACGAATCTCTGAAAATAAATTCTCCACAGGCTGAGCGAGAACCCCTACTGGAACGTGCTGCTCCTGGAGGCCGGGCCCGACGAGATCTCCCTCACGGACCTGCCGCTGATGTTCCCCAGTCTGCAGCTCACCCCCTTCGACTGGCAGTACAGGACGGAGCCGGGCGAAAAGTACTGTTTGGGGATGAAGGAGAACAGGTGCAACTGGCCCAGGGGGAAGGTCTTAGGGGGTAGTTCCGTTCTGAACGCTATGCTGTACATAAGAGGGAATAGGAGGGACTACGACAGGTAATTTTTTTTTACATAATGGAAAGAAAGAAACGTGGATACGGCAAGATACTGATATTGAAAATGGGTTTTTTGTAGATGGGAATCTCTTGGCAATCCAGGTTGGAGCTACGATGACGTTTTGCCTTATTTTAAAAAATCTGAGGATATGAGAATTGAGGAGTTGAAAGATGACGACTACCACGGAAAAGATGGCTATTTAACAATTGAGCACTTTAGGTATGTATTGTTTGTTTATTTATTTATTGAATGACACATTCCTTTTAACCATTTCTATAAAATATATTTCTTTTTACGCAATTATTATACGTTTAAGTCCACTAATTTCTTGAGAAGTGCATTTATATCTTGATTTTCGTCTGGAAATTCCATCATCTTGCATCAACAATCACAAAATAGATCTTGCTTTTAAAAGTCTGATTAAAGCTAACGACTTTTAGGCATCGACTTTTTATATATTTCAGCTGCTGTGGTTACTTTAAAAAAGTGTTGCCAATTTTCTTTAAATTCT